CCCTTTTTGAAGATGGGAACCACGTTGGCCCTCTTCCAGTCCTCCGGCACCTCTCCAGAGCACCACGAGTGTTCATAAAGCCGCGCCAGGGGACTTGCAATGACCCCAGCGAGTTCCTTCAGGACTCTAGGGTGAAGATCATCCGGGCCGGCTGACTTAAAAATGTCCAGTCCCTCCAGAAGCTCCCTAACTAAATCCTCACTCACTCTAGGCCCAGGTGAGCTTCCCCCTTTGGATTAAAATAACATTAATGGGAACTTTGTCAAGAAAAGTACAGCATCAGCAATGTAATGTGTTTTATTGTAGTAAAATGATGAGAGTGAAAACACTGTGGGTGCATCTACACATGCAATTAACACAGAGAAATAAACTCCAGTGCAGTATGTGCTGGGGTCAGCTGCTCCTGGGCACAGCATCTGCACGTGCACCTGGGACCCAGCAGTTAGAACCAGGGCAGAGCAGCCCCAGGCTGGCAGGGGGCCTGGGGAGTCAGCCCTGGGCTCTGGGTAGCGGTGTCAGGTGGCTGAAGGGCTGGTTGGGGCATGAGGGTGCTACAGGGCAGGGCTAGGTGGCAGGCAGTCTCCATGCTGTAGCACCCTCATGCCCCAGCCAGCTGCTGTCACCAGCTACATGTGCGCTGAGGCTGCATAAATTACTCTGCTATAGGAGAGTACTGTCCTGGACAGTATTATCCTATGACAGAGTTAATTAATTTACTGTGTCCTCATATGGAATATGGGCATACATGTAGACAGTGATGCTCTCCTGCATAGCTAATTAATCAAATCAGCATAGCCAAATACTAAATTACTGCACTAACTGGTGTTACTATGTAATAGCATCCCTGCATGGTTTTTTTCTGACACTACTGTGCAGTAGCAACAAGCTACTATGCAGTAGCTTGTTACTACTGCTCAGTAGCTTCGCATCATGGTTAGTGCGCCCCAACGCTACCGCATAATAGCAATGAACTAGTGCACAGTAGCTTATTGCTACTGCACAGTAACGTTTCATGTAGACATGGCCACTGTGATCTAAATGTCCAGGCTATATTTTTGCCATTCTAAGATTTACCACTTCTATAAGCTATATTGTAACAAACTCATTGCCTGCTCCTGTGAGTGTGTTTATACTTATGTCTTAAAAAAATTACCTGCCCAAACTTCCTCTTTTTTTTTTTGCAATTAGTTCATTATTAACACCATATACAGGCCTGCATTTTTGTTCAGTTGCCCAATAGGGCAGTGGATTGAAATCAAGAGGTATTTCAGCTCCTTGACATACAAATTCCTTCATTGAGAAACTATAATGCCTTATTGTGTGGATACAAATTTTATTTATGTTGCAAAATTCACAGATCACCAAACTACTCAGAATTAGCAAGGCCATACTGCACTGAGGAGGGATTCTGCAGGTATAATAATGGGCAAGAAGGTTTTTCTCTGTAGCTGCTCTAGTGCTGTTTTGTGCATGGAACCACATCCTTATAACACACCCAGAGAAATAGCATCCATAGTTTAGATTGGATGTGGTTACAGGAAATCCAGATGTTTCTAGTCTGAAGCTGAGATAAAGAAGGCACATCACTGGCAGCATACATTTTATTTTTTAAGACATATAAACTGAACTCTAATAAAGTTTAAAAATACTTTCAATTGCTATGTCTACATGGCAGCCATGCTACATACCTAGAATACCTGGAGGCTCCCAAAGTTTAGATATAATGGCTATAATGGCCTCAAATCTGCCCAACACAAGCAAGAAAAGCTGACTGTGTGAGGGAAACAGGGCAAGTGCTTATTGACCAAAGCAAACAAACTGGGTCCCATGGATTCCCCCCCTTCTTGATAACAATTGTTAAAAAAAATCAGAAATGTGATATTCAGTCATCCATTTCCTCTTAAAATTTCAAAATGTATAGTATATAGCAGGCTCCAGCAAAATTAGTCATTCTTTCTGAGTGTTACTGAATAAAACAGTGCAGCTGCAGGGTTGCCCTCAGTGGGAACCAGTAGCATGTCTGCTCTACTAAGCCAATGCCCTAATTATATGGGACCTAGTGAGTGTTCTGAGTCATAACATTTCAACAAGACAGCTAATTGTTCTGTTAATTAGTAAGATGCTTCATTGCTGTCATGGCAACACATTTATGTTCCTTTGTTCTGCATTAACAAAGGATTTAATGACTGTTATACTAAAGGACAAAGATGTCAGCCAATCAGGCTTTGGAGATGTTGCATGCTTACTGCCACAGCTCTACCTTGGCTCTCAATAACAACAGGATAGACAATCATGCACTCTGATTCACTATGTTTCCAATAAAATAATAATAATAATAATATTAATAATAATAACTAGCTCTAATATAACATATTTAATCAAGGTTTAAGGAAAGAGCTTAAAATAACAGACATGGTTTCTTCAGATCTGAAGAGAAGTATTGTAGCTAGGAACAGATGTTGCATTTGTTCCTGGACAAAGTGTGCCTGTATTTGTCTCAGACCCGAAATGTCTTGGGATTGCATTGTACACATACTACCCTTCTAATCAGGGTTTAGTGAGCAGCTGAATGGACTGCCACTTTCTGCCATTGATTCAATGATGCAATTCTGCGGTAACTGTTGAGGCACACTTTGTGGTGTCCCAGGACAAACTGTTAGTACTTCTTATCCTGTCAACTCATTTAGGATTCATCTAGAGACAACAGACATGGAAGTCTGAGCAACTGCATTTTGTCCTGGGGTAAATTGGCTTATCCTGGGACAAATGTGACATCTGTTTGTAGTCTTAGTGTCATAAGGGTTTGTACTTATTCTTATAGGAAAATAATATGAAAGTGCTTTCTGTTTACTCAGTTAAGAGCAACACGCCAAAAAATAAAAGAGGGAGATTGGTATTGTGATTAAATCTGGACTTAAGATATAAGTGTTTGATTTCTGGATCTACAACAGACTTCCCTTATGACCTTCAGCAAATCATTTAAGGCCAGATCCAAATAAATGGACTTAGGTGCCCAAAGTAGTATTTAATCAGAATTTAGGGCCCAAGGTCCAAAACTATAGTCCTGATCCCCCTTCCCCATCCCAACTCAATCAGGGTTTAGAAAGAGATACTTTGCCCTTCACCTTAAGTTTCTGAGATGTTTCTAGTTTTGCCTATATGCAGGCCCAGGAATGCCTCACATGTCATGGGGCTGAGCAACTAAGGCTGCCTGTGCTTGGAGGTGAGGGGGGGAGGGAGAGGGTTTTAATCCCCAGAGAGCCATTCTAATTAAAATGCCACAGCATCATGCATATTGAGCCCCTGCATGTTTAAAAATGGCCGCAGGGTATTCTAACTAAAGCTTATTCAGTGAGCTTTAGGTTAAACACCCCAGCGGCCATTTTTAAAGCCATGGGTTTAAAAATATATGTGATGCTGTGAC